GCGATATTCCGGTCCTCCTCGGTATTGGCAATACCTCCCAACTTTGTGTTATCTGCAAGTTTTATTAGCACACTCCCGCTTTTTTGTGCCAGTGTCGTTCATGAAAACGTTGAATAAGATTAGTACCAAGCCCCAGAGGAACTTTACTAGTAACCTCCCTGCTGCCTGACAGTTCACCTTTCATATGACCCATTGTAGGCTCCCCTATAACCAGTTCCTTCCCCACCTTTTGAGTCTCTTATTAAACCCCACCTTCTCCAATTTAACTAATAATTTCCCGTGTGGAACTGTATCAAACGCCTTGCTGAAATCCAGGTAAATTAGATCTACTGCATTTCCTTTGTCTAGAAAATTGATTATTCTCTCAAAGAAGGAGATCAGGTTGGTCTGGCACGATCTACCTTTTGTAGTAAAACCATGTTGTGTTTTATCCCAATTACCATTTACCTCTATGTCCTTAACTACTCTCACTTTCAAAAGTTGTTCTGAGACCTCTCATACATTTGAGATCAAACTAATGGATCTGTAGTTTCCCAGATCACCTTTTTTACCCTTTCTTAAATATAGGTACAGTATTTGCAATTCACCAGTCTTAAGGTACAATCCCTAAGTTTACAGAATCATTAAAATCCTTGCTATTGGGCTTGCAATTTTATGTGCCAGTGCCTTTAATATTCTTGGCTGGAGATTATCTGGGTCTCCTGATTTAGTTCCATTAAGGTGTTTGAGTTTGGCTTCCACCTTGGATGTGGTAATTTCTGCTTCCATCTCCTTATTCCCATTGTCAACTCTTCCACTTTCCCACTCTCCTCATTAGCTTTATCAAAAACTGATGCAAAGTATTTGTTTAGGTGTTGGACCATACTTAGATTATCTCTAATCTCCACCCCATCCTCAGTATTTAGTTGTCCCACTTCTTTTTCCCTTGTTTTCTTTTTATTTATATGACTAAAGAACCTTTTACTGTTGGTTTTAATTTCCTTTACAGGATCCAGTGCTGCCTGGCTTTTGGCAGTTCTCACTTTTTTCCTCTACACTTTTTGACAGTCAAGAGCTTCTTGTTCATCCAGTTTGGTCTGCAGCCCTTACCCATGAATTTCCCCCCCTCTTTGGGCTGCAGGCTTCAGATAGTGTTCCATCTTTGACTTAAAGAAATTCCAAACCTTTTCCACATTTAGATCCTTGAGTTTTTCAGTCCTGTCCACTTCCCTGATTTCCTGAATTTTTTAAAATTTACCCTGTTGAAATCAGGGACCCTAGTTGCAGACCTATTTTTGTTTATCCTTCCATTTAGTTCAAACTGAATTAAATCATGATTGCTCAAACCAAGGTTGTCCTGTTCTTCAGTGATGTCCTCACCACTTACCAATACTAAATCTAAAATGGCATCACCGCTTGTTGGTTTGATTGACTATTTGCTGGCTCCTCTGCCACTGCTCCTACCATAAAATCGTCACTGATAAAGTTTGCGGATGACACAAAAACCGGGGGAGTGATAAATAACAAAGAGGACAGGTCCCTGATGGAGCAATCTGGATCTCTTGCTAAAATGGGAGCAAGCAAACCATATGCGTTTTAATACATAAATGTCAAATAATATGCTAGTATGTAAATGTATAATCTAGGAACAAGGAATTTAGGCCATACTGACAGGATGGGGACTCTATCCTGGGAAGCACTGACTCTGAAAAAGATTTGTGGGTCATGGTGGATAATCAGCTAAATATGAGCTGCCAGTGCTACACAGTGTCCAAAAGGCCTAATGTGATCCTCGGATGCATAAACAGAGGAATCTTGAGGAGGAGTAGAGAGGTTATTTTACTTCTGTATTGGGCACTGATGCAACTGCTGCTGGAATCCTGTGTCCTGATCTGGTGCCCACAAGTCAAGGAGGATGTTGAAAAATGGGAGAGGGTTCGGAGAAGAGCCACGAGAATGATTAAAGAATTAGAAAACCTGTCTTGCAGTGATAGACTCAAGGAGAGCAGTCTGTTTAGCTTAACAAAGAGAAGCTTAAGGATTTACTTGATTACAATCTGTAAGAACCTACATGGGGAACAGCTATTTAATAATGGGCTCTCATTCTAGCAGAGAAAGGCATAACATGATCCAATGGGTGTGGAAGTTGAAGCTAGACAAATTCAGACTGGAAATAAGGTGTAACCGTTTAACAGTGAGAGTAATTAGCCATTGGAACAGTGTACCAAGGGTCATGGTGGATTCTCCATCACTATTTTTAAATTAAATTTGGATATTTTTCTAAAACGTAGGGATCGTTTTGGGGAAGTTCTCTGGCCCGTGCTATGCAGGAGGTTAGACTAGGTGATCACAATGATCCTGTCTGGCCTTGGAATCTGTGAATCTAGCTCCCTGAGCTGTGTGAAACTAACCAGTTGCGCTCTGCTGGGGACAGGACAAACCTTTCTTTGCTATTAGATTCACATGGGCTTTGAGCCCTGGATACAAACAAACCCCAAAACGCAAAGTAAAACTCAACTGCCACCTCCGTGTTATACCTGATTTTGAGCAAAACCCAGTTTTGCAGGAATTTCACCCAAAGCCCTAACTTTGGCTAATGTTGGCTGAAAAGTTTGTAAACTTCGCCTGAGTTTGAGGTTGATAATGGAATTTATAATCAGACAAAATCCTTTTCTTTCTTCCTCTCTCAAGCTGTCTCTTGCTTTCCAGCGCGCTCTCTGCTCTATAAACTATACAGCCACATTTGTGTTTGCCTTGATTAGCAACAAGAGGAGAGAGTATAACCAACTAGATGGAGGAGGATCGGGGGTGGGAGTGGGGGAGTCCACTTCCAACGGACGCACGGGATTTGCAAGATGAAAGGCAGGCAGCAGGCCTGTGACAGATGTGAAGGGTGTAAGGAGCAAGAGTCAGTATGCATGAAGAGTTCTGAGCTGGGAGATCTGATGCTGCATCGCTAAATAATAATAGAAATCTCTACCCAAGCTTGAAAATCCACGGCTTGAGTTTGCTGTCCTATCATTGCAGATCAGGGGTAACTGCTTTGAAATCAGTGGCGTTACTTTAAGCTTAGATGGTTCTGTGGTGTTTGCCAGCATGAATGCAAGTTGCCCAGGCTTTTGCCAACCCGGATCAGAGCTTTGTTAGAAGTTGCTCATTTTTATAACCTGTCTTGTTTAGTAAATTGAAATCTAAATGTGGAAAGAGAGATCCCGAGACTCTCAACCCGGAAAAACCACCTTATGCGAAACCTCCATGCGCGAGGGTGGCAGACTGGGTGAATGGGGTCCCCTCCCCACCCTTATAATTTCACTAAAGCCATAATAATTGCATCAGACCCATAGAGGTCTTCTGCTTCTGTCCCTGCTAAACAGCTGCCCATTCCTTGCCCCTGGTGTTTTATGAAGTCAAAGCGACAGCTTTTATTGCTGTAATCTTAGCATCTCTGATGCTTCTGTAATCTTTTTGTCTGCAACTGTGAGGCCAGGAAAATGGAAATCTGGAGCAGGTTTCCTAAGCTGTTGAATGGGAGGCAGAGACAAGAAATAGGACTTGCAATTAATGGAGTTAATAAATACACTTCTGAGCATGATTTGATGGATGGAACAACATGGACCAACCTAGAGACCAAGCAGTCCCCTCACCCGCAACTGACAAGAAACCAGACTCCCTTTCCTGAGCCAGGCGTACAGGAAGCACACACAAGTTATATTCTCTCATTAGGAACAAAGCCCCCAGTAGTGCTATACCTTGGATATGTGATTACTTCAAATAGAGTTCAGTATTGCTTTCACCTGTTTCTTAGAACTAGAATTAAAGCAGATGTCCCTACTCTCCTGCAAAGCACTTAAATCCATCCCAGTCCAGTTTAAGTGCAAACTTGAATCCATCCTTATTCAACAGAGCACTTAACCCTGGGCTTAAGTCCCACTGACTTCACGGCTCACGCTTACGCACTTTCTGGCCTGATTCAAAGCCCGTTCAAGTCAGCACACTTCCGTCGAGTCCAGTAGGCTTTGGATTAGGCCATTGGTGTAACTGGATGGACTTCAAGTATGTTGCTTAAGTGCTTTGCTGAATCAAGGCCAGATGCAATGGGAGAGATGATGTCCGTCATTTGACAAACGTGCATGAGGCTCTCACCATGCGCGTTCTTTGCTGACGGATTTACTTAGCACGCTCAGCAACCTGTATCTGCAGAGGCTGGTTTTTCACAGGCAGATGTGGTGGTGAGGTTTTGCCTGCAGACGGATGCCCCCTGGAAAACTTGGGCCCCTGGTTGTTGGGAATTGTTTTCCATCCTATTGGCCTGATGAAACAGTGGAAGCTGCCAGGCAAAATTGATACTTACAGGGTGCCCCTGAGGCTGAGGGGAAGAGATCCTAACATAGCCGATTCAGATCAGGGTGGATGCTGCCCACCCTAAGGATGGCAGCGGAAGAAAATCGCAGCTGCTCGTCATGGTCTAAATTTAGGATGTCATTCATCTGGAATCCACTGCTCCAGCTCATCACCAGGCAGAGTGATGGAATATAGAAAATTAATTTCTGAGATGGGAAATAGCTAATAATTTATTTACAGCTAGGGCAGGGAAGCATGGAGGGGGCTTGATACAGGATTTTCTTCATGCAATGTCAGTGCTGAGCCTGTTCAGCTTCCCGTGAGCTCGCCCTATTAGCTGAGACAACATCTTGCCACCCCACTTGGCCTATCAGTGTGGCTGCGTGCAGGAGAGAGGAGTTTTCTCGTCACTGCACAGGTCACCCACAGGGCTCTAATTGACCGCACCGCAAAGCCTGTGGTGGGCTCCCGCCGGGGCCGGTATGTGCGCGCAGCATGGCTCGTCACAGCAGCATGCATTTTGGGATAGTGGCGATGGGGGAGGGGGGGGGAAGGTCACGGGAGCATGCTAGACGTGCACGGCTGGTGGTGTGACCGAGTGTGTCTCTGAGCTGTGGGAGGTGTCGTGTTCCGTAAGCGTCACTTACCTCTTTCTTTCTTTGTTTTGTTTTGTTTAACAGGATACACACCCACTGGGATTTAAACATCTCCTTCCGAGAGACCTCTTGCAGGTACCATTTTGGGGCACCCTCTTTGTATGGTAGGCTAAGCATTTATGATACACATTACTGGACTATGGATGCAGTTAGAAATGTTCTTTCGTTCTTTCGTTCTTCTCCAACAGAAGAAAGAAAGAGAGTCAATCCTATAAAAGGATGCACTTACTGGTGTCTAAAGATGTTTTTCTCAGCTCTGCTTTTCAAAGCATGGAAAATCACTGTGCCAACTGATGCTAATCAGTGGGCGGTGGGTGTGTAGATGTCCGTGCAATATTATTAAGACCCTGATCCTGCAAGCAGTTCTGCATGTGGGTAGTTCCATTGGAACCTTTGGGCTTTTCACCTGCATAATGTGAAGCATGCATTTAAGGGACTGTGGGTTCAAGGTTTAAAGCTGCAAGAATGACTTGGTGGCTCTTACAATTACCTTTAATGCATGGATGGTGGTGTTGTGGGGAATTTAGACATTTAAAATCACCTTAAAACAGTGGTTCTCAAAGCCGGTCCACAGCTTGTTCAGGGAAAGCCCTTGGCGGGCTGGACCAGTTTGTTTACCTGCTGCATCCGCAGGTTCAGCCGATCGCGGCTCCCACTGGCCGCGGTTCGCCGCTCCAGGCCAAAGGGGGCTGCGGGAAGGGCGGCCAGCACGTCTCTTGGCCCACACCGCTTCCCGCAGCCCCATTCGCCTGGAGCGGCGAACCGAGGCCAGTGGGAGCCACGATCGGCTGAATCTGCGGACGCAGCAGGTAAACAAACTGGTCCAGCCTGCCAGGGGCTTTCCCTGAACAAGCAGCGGACCGGCTTTGAGAGCCACGGCCTTAAAAGACAAACATTTAAAAAAAAAAAGAAGAAAATAAGAAAAGCCTTAACTAAGAGAGAACGTAGGAATTGCCATCCCAGTTTGGATCATTTATCTTTTAAGTCTGGTATCCTGCAGTGATCAACACCTGAAAAACGTCAAAATCTACACACTGTCAATATCTTGTTATTACATGCTTTGCACAAATGGGAAAATTCCTTCCTGTCCCTTACAGTGATCAGTTGATGCCCTGAAGCATGAGATGTGACTATCCTTTATGTCTGTATGTAGACTATAACTGCCAGCGTTATTGCTGGTCATGAAATTAACCAGCCCTTGTAAAAGTCTACCTACAGTATTTGCCTCTATAGAGACAAGAGGAATGCATGTTCTAACTTCTGTTTTATATGAAACTCACTATTTGCCAATGAAATACTTGAACCAGGCATATGCTGTTTGTTTTCTGGAGGAGAGACAAATCATTACACATGGCTAATAAAGAACAGGTGGTTCCCGTGAAACTTCTTGGCATGGGAAACCTGAAGGGAAGTGTCTCTTCTGCAGAAGGATGTTGCTGGGCCCAAACAGAGTAGGCCGGATTCTGATCCTGGTTGCCCTGGATAATTGATTGAAGTTGATGGAGTTACTCTGGATTTACACTGTTGAGGCTGAGATCAAAATCTGGCCGAGAGGATCTCAAATTTTATAGCATGGAAATTAATTAGCTTTCAATTAACAACCCAGCAACAGTTTCTGGTGCTCTGTGCAGAATTCCTGTTCAGTTCTAGAACTAGGTGAACAATGGGAAAATATTATTATTATTTTAGTTGCAATAATGTCCACTGTGTGCTAGGCGCTTTCCAAACAAACACTTCAGAAGGGTGGCCCGTGATCTACGGAGCTCAGAATCTAAGGACAAGCAAGGGCATTTTATTGAAAATTTATCTGAGTTTTTGACTAGGTCTGTATGACTATGTCTCGCTGCATCCTGGTGTAGTACTTACCCAAGAGAACATACCTTAGCAGCTTTAAAAAACATGTACATTTCAATATTGCAACTGATCTGGGTTGTTCTCTCTTTAAAAGCTTCAGAAGGTTTCATGAAAAGTAAATATCAGTGGCAGCAGGAGAGTACATTAGAAATGACTCCCAACTCTATCGCCTGCCCTTCAAACACAACTCAGACCGCTTCGGCTTCCTGGCTGTGAGCCCCCCGTAAAATCTTGTGTGGAGTGGCAGGGAGGCGAGAGGATCTTAGGAGAAAAGATTGTATTTTTGACACCCCCTGCCCCCTCAAAAAATCTTGAACTTTAAAGCGGACAGATTGAGCTGTTTTATTGGAGGTATTTGTATGAAGTTTCTCATCTAAATTATAAACCATGGGGTGAGATCTCTGTTTGTTTGTTTGGTTTTATTGTTTGTTTGTTTATTTTGGTCCCTGATTTGATTCAGCAAAGCATTTAGGTACATGCATAAGTCCATCCCTATTTAACCAAGCATTTAAGCATGTGCTTAAGTTCTTGGCTGAATTGAGGCCTGGGATCCTCATTTGGAACCTTGAAGGCACTGTGGAGTGAGGTGTGAAATTTGTGCTAATTCACACCCCATTAGGAGCCATTGAAAGCAGTTGGTTTAACTGGGGTTTAAATCAGTGCGGCATTCAGCCCAAGTCTGGGAAAATGTCATTTCTTAACATTTTAAATGTTAAGAATACAAAACCACAGCCCAAATTAGGAGATTCTAAGATGCAGTCTTGCAAGCTCACTTCAATGAGAACACCCCTTGACACCATTAGGAGTCCCTGTCCAGACAGCTTTCAGGATAAGGTCCCTGTGTTGTTGCTTTAAGCTTATGGGACTTGAAAATTCAAATGGATGGATTCCTTCCCGGCAGACCCTTTCATGATAAATTTCAGCCTGGAGTGAAAATTTGTGGCCCAGTTATAAGCTCCTAAAAAGACCGGAGCTTTATAATGGAACTGCTTACACAAGCCTTAACTAATAGCCATGTGAACAATCATTCTGGAGTTTAATACAGCTGTGACTAACGGTGCACCCACCTTTTGAAAATTAAAATTCCCACCTTTTAAAAATATTATTTTTGAAGCTGCAATGCCAAGGCTAAAATAATTGTTGAATTTTTATGTCTGTGAGCAGATTTCTCTGTCTTCCCCCCATTTAACTGTTTGTTTCCAGTAGCTCTTTCCTGGCAACTTAGTTCCAACATTTGGATATTCCTTTTCCACAGTACTCAGAGAACTCAATCCATTGTGTGCCCACTATCATTGGGACTTGGCAGTTATATGGTAAAATACAAGTTTTGCCACTGCAAATCAAACGTCTGATCCAGTTACCTCAAGAAGTGGCCAGTCCTAATGTTCCAGCAAAAAGCTGCAGATTCCCTGTAATGCAGCAAATTAATTGTGCCACCAGCCGATGCCCTGAAACATGAGATTTGTCAATTCTTAACACTGGTTTGCTAATAAGAAACATTTAAAGGGACAATGCTTAGTGAAAAGGGGCAGAATCTGGCTTAACATCCTGTTGGGAATTCCTTGGATTCCAGTTGGGTGTTCATCGTAATTGCTTAATTGTTTATGTAGGCCCTACACAAAGCAATGTTGTATCCTTCTGATGACACAACAGCCTCAGCTAAGTGACCTGAGCTGGTGACCTGGCCCCACATAACTATTAAATATAATGGTTAATAACTTAGCTAAATCACATTCTGATTTCTTGAAATGTAGACTCTGAATGAGATTTCAATGAGTTTTAACTATGTGGATGGTCTGTTGTTCCATTATTAAGGTAGTCTGAGACAAAGCAGGCCTGACACTGACGGCTAGTAAGTTTCTTCAAGGAGCCAATTTAAAATGAATTTTAATTCAAATTAATTAGCAGATTTATTTGTAAATTCCATTCTGTACTCAAGCTGTAAGTGCTGTAATTTAGGGGAATAATAAAGAGGTGGAATCCCTGGTTTAAGTACAAACCCAACTCAACCTCAACTGTAGAGCCATGATCGATGCCTCCATAATAGACTAGACCTGGCCAGGTGAGCACTCAGGTGTCCATTGTGAAATCAGAGGTAACTCAGCCAATCACCCCTCTTCCTCTACAGCCAATTTGCATGCTACTGTTCTGTTGGCTCTAGAGAGTCAATGGTCTGACTCCTTAAAGGCTCCTTGGCAGCCTAGTAGCTTGGGCATTGGTACTTGGAAAAGTTCCCCATGGCACTGCCATTTTGGCTTTGGTCTGGGCTGAAGCACAGAGAAGCTGAGGCAGGAGTGAACAGGGCTCTTCCCCTCCCTTCCCACCCATGCCGCAGCCCTCCTCAGTCCCCTGTCACTGCTTCCCCCCGCCCCCACCCCACATCCCCACTTCCTCCCCCACCAGCCCCTCAAATCCCTGCTCACCCTCATGCCTGTCTCCTTTCCCCTCTGCAACCTGCTGCTTTCTACCTTTGGAGGAAGCTGCAGGGGAGACGTCGGCTTCTGCAGGCTTCTGTTGCTCTCTCAGACTCCAGCTGAAGTCACTGTCCCCCATCATCTTGACCTGCTCCCCTCATTCTGCTGACTCCTGCTGACTGTGGGTGCTCAGCACCTCTGCAAATCAAGCCCCCAATTTTCAGCTTGGGCCTCCAGTTCAGGTGTAGATGACAGCGGGTGCAAATTTGAGCCTGCCGACTAGGTCACTTAGATATTTTATCCCCCTGATCTGCCAGGGCAGAAAAGAAACATGCGTCTGTTTAAGCAACCTAAATTGCCTTACAACTCTGAAATATATGGCGCCACTGGACTACATGATGGGGTGGCATAAAGGTTTTACTGACCCTTGTTCGAGGTGACACACACAACTCACCACTCATGAGTTATGCAGGTCATCCCAGATTCCTGCTGCGATACCTTTAAGCTGCACCCCACTGTTATGTGGTTCTCTCCCCCCCTCTTTTCAATCAAAAGGGTTGCCTTCTGACTTGCCCCGCTTCTCTGTCAAAAGGTTGCCTTTGATCTTCCTTTCCAAGTCGTCAGAGGTTGCCTGGATTTGTTGGAGTCTGGTCACCTTACAGTTGCTGTCTGCATTGTCCTTGATGAAAGGAGGTTTAATTGGGTACATACAGGTCTGCACACAGGCACCAAAAGATCAACATTGGGAACTGTCCTGAAAAGGGAGATTAAGATCTCTCCGAGGGCCTGCCAGGTGCTCCTTTTTCT